GTTGGGCCTCCAGGACAGAGCAGAGACCCCTCCGGCCTGCCTTCGAAAGCCAGGCTGGCAGGAGCATGGGTGGGAGGGCGCAAGACAGACAGACAGAAAGACATACACACACACGCCTTGTAGGCGCTGGCCCAAGAGCCAGGGAGGAAGAGGAGCTGGTGGGAGGGACCACCACGAAACCATCCAGCTCAGGTCCAGAGCTCCTCTTCAAGATGCGGGGGTCCCTGAGGCCTGACTAGTGTCTTCCTGCCATGGTAGCACAGTTACCAGAGCAAGAGGAGGCAATGGCCTCACCATCTGTATGGCTTTCACCGACCTGACCTTGTCCTCCCCACCCCCTCAAAACCCCAGCCGCTGCTGGGATGGACCCTCATCTGGATGCCTCTGCTTCTGCTTCGCAGTAGGTGCCAGAGTCCACGGCTGGCCGGCTGGCCTGGGGACTGCCCAGTTGGTACCACCCCTACCTGGTGCTGGAAAGTGCTTTACATTCTTTGCACCGGGGGCCAGGCAGCCCCATTCTCTCCCATCCTTGAGCCTGGTTCGTTCATCTTTCTGGATGCTCTGTCCCCAGAGCCGATTGTGCAGCGTGCCCACACCTGGGCTGTGCTTGCCTCTGGGAGGGTGGCAGTGGTGGTGGCAGTGGTGGTGGTGGTGGTAGAATGGGCTGAACATCAGCTTTACACTCTTGGGAGAGAATAGTGGGTGGGTTGATGGAAATCTTGGGTGTGTGCAGGCTTAGGTTTAGGGGAATCTCAGAGGGATGAGGTTGTGCTCCACAGCCTTAAAAACCAAACGTTGGGGTGGGTTGATGGAAATCTTGGGTGTGTGCAGGCTTAGGTTTAGGGGAATCTCAGAGGGATGAGGTTGTGCTCCACAGCCTTAAAAACCAAACGTTGTCCCCCTTGGCCTGCCTTACTTCTACTGTACCTTCGAAATTAATCTGCCTTTTCCCCAGGCTAAGTCAGGTGGCTCCTAGGGGCCCTGGCTTCCCAGCTTCCCTGCATCACCTCTCTCTGCCTAAGTCACAGTCTGTCTGGCAGACCCCAGGGTCCCCCCTGTCCTGGCAGCTGGTCAGGCTTCCAATCAGCCCAGAGTGCCTTCTGGAGTTCAGGGCCAGGCGAGCCTTGGAGTCACACACACGTGTATTCATGCATGCACACACTCCTTTTCCTCAGCTCAGCAACATGCATCCTCCTCCATGCCAGGCCCCAGAAACGCACCAGAGGTGATGCACTGAGCACAGCAGGGATGGTCTTGCCCTCAAGAAGCTCACAGTCTAGTGAGGAAGAGAGATTTGAATCAGCCAAGCACATATCTATTGGGTCCCAGGCAGGAGCAGAGCAACTGCTCTCCCAGTGTCCCTTCCCTCCTCCCATGGATTCAGAGCTGGCAAGCCCAGCCTGCTCCCTCCAGTGCTGCCCTGGGTGGTCAGTAGGTTGGCTTTGGGTGGCAGCAGCCTCCTGAGAGCAGGTCCCAGCTGGAAGGTCACTTCAGGACCCACCCTCTCCCGTCTGGGGGCTCAGAGAGGATATGGTGGTTAGGGGGACAGGTCTAGGGGTCGAGACTGGAGCCAGGCCTGCAATGACGCCCCTTTACACTGCTCTTGGGCCTGGCCTCCTCATGCGGCAGGGGTGCGGTCAGGGTGTGGGAAGTGAAGGGCTCGTGGCAGCCTATGTGGCTGTTGTGTTAATGCCTCCCCCTTCTTGGTCCCCAGGCCTGCACCTCTACTTCCTGGACTAGGAGTCACCAAGATGCCCATCCTGGAAAAAGTCCCTCATAAGATGGCAGCAAAAACTCCCAGCAGTGATGAGGAGCCTGTGAGTGACTTTTGGAACCCTCTCTCTCATCCCTGTTCTTCCCACTCACATGTCCTTGCTTCCAGAACGTCCTGAGTGGAACTGGTTCCTAGCCTTTACCCGGCCCCCAGCCCTGCACTCTCCTGGGCATGAGGCCCAGGCTCCAGCCCTACCTCAGCCTGCAGAGGAGCCTGGGAGGGATTGGAGGGGCTGAGAGTGGCATCAGGGGGTGCCAAGGAAATGCTGACATCCACACTTCCTGACCCCAAGGCCAGGGAGAGCCCATGACTTATGCCAGGTACTGTCTTTCCTCCCAGGGCCTCCCCACACCCCAAGTTCCACTTTGGATGGCTTTGAGCCCAGTGGGGTTGCCTTAGAGTGAGGCTGAATTCTGTACTCTGAGTCCTGCTATATCCCAGCCCCAGCAGCTATGCTAGTTCAGCCCTGGAGCCTTGGGCACCATCTCCCACACTGGCCTCCCTAGGCAGGCATCCTCCCTCCTGCCCCAACCAGCCTTTGAGTGAGCACAGTTCCCCTGGTTCCAGGTTGTTGCACGGAGTGGTCCTCTCCACACATGTCTTTTTGCCAACTTCTTTCCCTCCCCGAGCCTTTCTTCAGAACTGATCAGAA